CGATCCTTCTGCGCCACAGACCATTTCTGCAGTTCGCGTTCGAAGGACAAGCATATCAGTACAAGGTCCTGCCCTTCAGGTTGTCCCTGTCCCCCCGTGTCTTCACGAAAGTTGCAGAGGCGGCCCTTGTTCCCCTGAGAGAGCAGGGCGTTCGCATTCTAAACTACTTCGACGACTGGCTCATACTATCTCAGTCTCAGGATCAGTTGTGCAAACACAGGGACTTGGTGCTCTTGCACCTCAGCCGGTTGGGCCTTTGGGTCAACTGGGAAAAGAGAAAACTCTCCCCGACGCAGAGGATCTCTTTTCTCTGTATGGAGTAGGATTCGGTCAAACAGACAGCACGCCTCACAGAGGAACGTGCTTAGTCTGTGTTGAACTGCCTGAATATGTTCAAGAGCAGGATGGCGGTCCCACTGAAACAGTTTCAGAGGCTCCTGGGGCATATGGCAGCTGCAGCGGCTGTCACGCTGCTCGGGCTGCTTCATATGAGACCGCTTCAACACTGGCTCCATGGCCGAGTCCCAAGGTGGACGTGGTAGCGCGGCACTCACCGGGTCCATGTTACACCAGCCTGCCGCCAAACCTTCAACCTTTCTTCAGGCAGGAGTGCCCCTATTACAGGTCTCCAGGCATGCTGTGTGTTACACGGATGCCTCTACCACCGGCTGGGGGGCCACGTACGACGGGCCTACAGTGTCGGGTGTATGGACGGGCCCCCAACTGCACTGGCACATCAACTGCCTTGAGTTGTTAGCAGTGTGCCTTGCCTTGAACCATCTCAGAGGGCGCTTACGAGGCAAGCACGTGCTGCTCCGCACGGACAACACTGCGACCGTTGTGTACATCAACCGACAAGGTGGTCTGCGCTCCCGTCACATATCGCAACTCGCCCGCCACCCCCTCCTCTGAAGTCAGAAGCATCTGAGATTGCTTCGTGCCGTTCACAATCCGGGCCTGCTCAACCATTTGGCCGACGAGCTGTCATGAGCTGCTCTTCCCGGAGAATGGAGACTCCATCCCCAGACGGTCCAGCTGATCTGGAGACGTTTCGGAGACGCTCAGGTAGACCTGTTTGCCTCTCCAGAGACCTCTCACTGCCAGTTGTTTTACTAACTGAACGAGGAAACACACGGCACGGACGCACTGGCACACAGCTGGCCGTGGGGCCTGTGCAAGTATGCATTTCCCCCAGTTAGCCTTCTCGCAAAGACGCTGTGCAAGATCAGGGAGGACGAGAAGCCGGTCCTGCTTGTGGCTGGCCCAATCGGTCTTGGTTCCCAGAACTAATGCTCCTCGTGACAGCCCCTCCCTGCCGGATTCCTCTGATAAAGGATCTACTGAGACTCAGAGATGGGGCATCCTGTGGCACCCGCGTCCAGACCTCTGGTACCCCAAGTGGTAGTAGACACCATCACTTTGGCGCGAGCACCGTCTACGAGACACGCTTACGCCTTGAAGTAGGGCTGTCAAAATGCCTGAAAAACTAAATTCGAATTTTGTACTTAAATATTATCAAAATTCGAATTATATAAAATGCATAATTTCAGTTAGGGTGAAGAAAAGCTTTTGGCTTCTCTCCTGAGGCCACAAGAGGGCGCATCATTCAAAGCATAAGATAACATGACTATCTGCGAAAAAGAAGTGCATAATGTTTAAAATAATGTTTATAAACCAATTATAATTAAGTTGCTTAAACAACTATAAACAAAACAGCATCATGTATGTATGCATAATTTAATACAAAGGGCGGAAAGCCAATCACACAGAGTACATTTTTCATTTAAAAACATTAGATGCAGTGGGATGGGGAAAAACCCACCATAAAGTCTTGATATATGTTTTTTCAAAGTTAAACTTGCATTAATTTTACATGGCTTTCTAAACATGCGGCTCCTTTGTGCGAGACGCGAGTGCAACAGTAATAGATGTCCGTCTAGAAATTGCGTGGAGATGCCCGATCAGAGTCGTGCTTTCCTTTCTGCATCAAGTGTTGGAGCAAAAACTGTCTCCCTCCAACCTTAAAGTCTATGTTGCTGCGATTGCTGCTAACCACGACCCCATGGAAGGGAAGTCGGTAGGGAAGCATGACCTGGTCATCAGGTTCCTCAGGGGGCGATAAGGTTGAATCCTCCCCGGCCCCCCTCTATACCCTCTTGAGACCTGTCTCTAGTGCTCAGAGTACTACAGCAGGGCCCATTTGAGCCTTTGCACTCAGTCGAGCTGAAGTTTCGGTCAATGAAAATTCTGCTCCTGCTTGCATTGGCCTCCATCAAGAGGGTAGGGGACCTGCATGCATTTTCAGTCGATACTACTCCCTTCAGGGATCAGGTGGTGAACCTGCAAGCGCTGTCCCCGGAGGAGGCAGACCCAGCCCTAGTTTTGCTCTGTCCCATCCGAGCCTTGAGATGGTACATGGACCGGACACAAAGCTTCACGAGTATACATAGATAATATTAGCCCGTATATTGCTTCATTTCTAGATTAGTTCCTAATGTGTGACATCTGTTTTTGTGTTGATAGGTAAGGATGATATGGAGATGTGTGAGCTGAGTCTGGAAGAGACCGGTTTGACTCGGAAGCGTGGTGCTGAGATTCTGCCGCGCCAGTTTGAGGAGATCTGGGAACGCTGTGGAGGAATTCAGTACCTTAAAAACGCCATCGAGAGTAGGCAGGCCCGACCCACGTACGCCACTGCCATGCTGCAGAGCATGCTCAAATAAACACACACACATAACAGCTCTAGTTCCATAAGGGAATCTACCAACTCCTACATAACCAGCACTGACTTTCATTTAGTTCTTTTTTTTTTTTTTTTTAGTCTTTTAATATTCTTTTCAGTTTTTAGTCTTTTGACATTATTTTTGTTTTGTTCTTTTTAAGTGCTTCTTTTTAGTAGCTGTCTCATTTGTTCTGGATTTATTTGAATATCTGGTGTGTCGAATCATCTCATTGATCGTTAATTGCTGTTCTTGACAGTGTAATTGCCTCTAAACTGCCTCTTAATATAATTTACTTAATGTAATATTTTTGCTATGATATATGATGAACATCAGTAATCCATAAATACTTTACTGGCAATGTTCCTTGAGAGAAATTCAAGTTTCTTCCTAACGTTTGAATCAATCTCACGTTGAAATAAAGATCCTCTTTGACTTGCAGATGTAAATACTGATATTGTTCAGCACTGTACACTATTCTGAGTTTTGTTATTTACTGTGAGTTTAACTGCTTGCATAAAGTATTTACAAAAGCTACAATAAAGTAAATACAATAACTCTGGTACGTAATGACAACTAAATTATGACTGAATGAAAAATGTTTAATAAAAAATTATGATTTTAATAATACGATTTAGTCTTCTTGTGATATTGTTATTGTCCCTAATGTTGTGTAAATCTACGATGATGTGTGTGTTTTGCAAATGATGCAATATGACACACAAGGCATGGGTTGTAATTGTGATATCAGACCAAATATGTATAAGAGCAATATGCAAATGAGATTTATTTCTATATACAAAAGCAAGATTTGTATGAAACGAAACAAGGTACTGATGTAGGCATTAGATCTCCAGCTAAATAAAGTTGTCTGTTTTCTTCCAACAAGCACAGTTGAGATTTTTATAGATATAAACCAGCACAGTTGGTTCATAAATACACCAACTGTATTTACAAAAATACATATAGAGTTATGAGAGCCTCGTTTCAGGGATTACCTTCTATAACATTTCACAATACAATAACAATGATAAAAATATATATATTTAATATAGTACAAACAACTATTAAATGTCACTGTGATGAATGTTGTTGACTAAGGATTTAAAATAAATGCAAATAAGTGATGCTATTTACCGTTATTCAGGGCTGTCCAGGGACATCACTAACATACAGTGGGTACGGAAAGTATTCAGACCCCCTTAAATTTTTCACTCTTTGTTATATTGCAGCCATTTGCTAAAATCATTTAAGTTAATTTTTTTTCCTCATTAATGTACACACAGCACCCCATATTGACAGAAAAACACAGAATCGTTGACATTTTTGCAGATTTATTAAAAAAGAAAAACTGAAATATCACATGGTCCTAAGTATTCAGACCCTTTGCTCAGTATTTAGTAGAAGCACCCTTTTGATCTAATACAGCCATGAGTGTTTTTGGGAAAGATGCAACAAGTTTTTCACACCTGGATTTGGGGATCCTCTGCCATTCCTCCTTGCAGATCCTCTCCAGTTCTGTCAGGTTGGATGGTAAACGTTGGTGGACAGCCATTTTTAGGTCTCTCCAGAGATGCTCAATTGGGTTTAAGTCAGGGCTCTGGCTGGGCCATTCAAGAACAGTCACAGAGTTGTTGTGAAGCCACTCCTTCGTTATTTTAGCCGTGTGCTTAGGGTCATTGTCTTGTTGGAAGGTAAACATTCGGCCCAGTCTGAGGTCCTGAGCACACTGGAGAAGGTTTTCATCCAGGATATCCCTATACTTGGCCGCATTCATCTTTCCCTCAATTGCAACCAGTCGTCCTGTCCCTGCAGCTAATAAACACCCCCACAGCATGATGCTGCCACCACCACCATTTTAATAAATCTGCAAAAATGTCAACGATTCTGTGTTTTTCTGTCAATATGGGGTGTTGTGTGTACATTAATGAGGAAAAAAAATTAACTTAAATTATTTTAGCAAATGGCTGCAATATAACAAAGAGTGAAAAATGTAAGGGGGTCTGAATACTTTCCGTACCCACTGTAGCTCTAGATTTAATATTAAACTATACTTAAAGACATTTCGCACAGTGCTTTGGGTAAATCTTACAAAATTGGTTCATATTTTGTAGCAAGTTTTTGTTTATAACTTTAGTTTTTTCTTTTTAACATTTGTTCCTCTATAGCATTCAAAGAATATTTCCAACAAAGTTCTACTTTTCATAAGACAACCACGCTAAAAGACAAAAAAAAAAAATGAGTATTCGCTATGCGTGTGAAACAATTTATAATTATTATACACCAAAACAAAATGATGTTCCATAGAATTTTTGAACCGTGTGAAACTTGTGTATTCATTATGATCAAACAGAAGAATAATTCCCTCATTGTGAGGAAACCCATAATGCTTTCTGCCATGTGAAAACATTCAACCAGCTCATTTCTTGATGTTCTTATGAGAACGACAGGTTACATAACCATTCAGCTTGGCTCTCCATCTGTTCAGGATGTTTGGCCACTCATTCTACAGCCTTCGGGGGTTGTGGGATCATGGGAAGTCTTTTCAAACGTCTTTTAATGTCTGGATAAGCACCATCGGACGTCCCACCTCTGTTAAAAAAGAAACAAGTTGTTTTGCATTGATGTTGTGCAATAGATAAAGGATGTTTAGCTAATAGCTGCATGAATGATTTTGGACTTTTATTTATAATTATATATTCTGAAACCACAGACTGTATAAACGGTTTTGCTTACAAAAGTTATCCCATGTGACAAATTTAGTCTATAAAATTTAGTTATAATTAACCTTAAACATGACATTAAGTGAGACCTGGGGCCAGTTGTGTACACTTAGTCATTATTAAGACAAAAGGGTGATCAATCATACTCGTCAAATTAGACCAATCTATGTATTTATGTAATTGACTTAAAAAAGTCCAGTCTGGTGAATAGTCTAAGCAATTCTTAGTCTATGCAATTGGCCACTGGTCTAATAGTTAGAGATTCATTCTTACAACCACAACAAAAGTTGATATCATGTGAAATCTGAACTTACCTCAGTGACAGTGATTATAATGTGTAAATCTTCTGTGATTAACTCGTCAGGCCTGGTACGGTGGTCTGGTCTCTGCCTCTATAAAACAGGACAGCACATACAGCAATATGAAGCCTAGATTTTAAAAGGCAAAGAAAGACATCAATATCACCTGAAGGGAAAGCAACAAAAAGTCATATCCCAAGGACAAATTCACAGGTGTGTGATGCATCACAGTTTCTGTAAAAAAAGACATATTAGTAAAGGTTTTTTAGGTACAAAACAGGCTTTGTGTTTAGAACATGCTGGAAATTGTATCATATTGGGATTCCTTGAGTAAAGTCCTGTTTTATGGCAAAAGTGGTAACATGTATTTTCTATTAATTAATATAATTACAGGAAATGTACAAAAATATATAGATGGCATTGTACAATATTATTTATTTTTACAACAATATTATTTGTCAAGAAAGTGTGTTGAATTTCAGTGTGGTGATTCCATGGAATGATGCTGCAGAAGTAGAAGCCAAGCATTCAACAAAATGAGTTTACTCCCAGTGTAGATGTAAAGGACATTTTCAAATTAACCCATTAGTAAAGTGAATAAAGACCACCTAAAAACGTGTAAAAAATTGTTTTGAATGGAAAGTTATATAAATTTAGAAAATTGTGGAGAAGAAACCGTAATGGGGATTTCAATACAGAGCTGCCTTGCAATCCCAAATGAAATGCCTGAACTCTTCAGTTTCGAGTGTTTGAGAACAGCTTGTGCCCTAATCAGATACTGTTAAACAGGACGATGCATGTTTATAATGACGATGCTGGACTCTACTTTTTATTTATAGTTTTCTGGAATAATTTGATCAGAATTTCTGCTTGTGGAGGCTTCAGTTGTTAATCCAGAGCGGCTGGATGGGGGACATCTGACTGTTCAGACAGAGAAAAGAGAATATCCCAAAGATAAAAGGCACAGAATGAAAATGAAGAATGAGACGTATCTAAAGAGGTAAAAAGTGTTCATAAATGTGTTTAGAACAGAATAGACAGGGAAGCAAGTAAAGATTTGAGACATTTTATACAAATCAATTTTGTAAATAACTGTTACCATAGTGCCACATTCACTGTAATCCACTGTGAAGAGTTATTCTAAGAACGATTATATAAGATACATGTCTTCAAATGAGCATAATCCATATGCTTTTTTTTCAGGAATAAATTATTTCTTTTCTTAGTTTGTAAAAACAGACATGATGACATTGGACGTTAATACCGTTACCTTCAAAGTGTACATATAATTATTTTTTACAAACTTGAGTATTGGACCTAGAACATTCCTTTAAAGGGGTCCTATTATGCTTTTTCACTTTTTTAATTTTAGTCAGTGTGTAGTGTGTATGTTTGGGCATAAAAAAGATCTTCAAACTTACAAATCTCAAAGTCATCTCCAAAGGGAGATATTTCGTTTTTAAAAAATCCCTTTTCAAGAACTACAACGAACGGCTCGTTTGGACTACAGCGTTTGTTTTCCGGGCTTTGTGATATCACAAAGCGACTCATTAGAATAGCATTACAAATAATTCCCGCCTACAGAAATTGGAATGGTTGGGGGGTGGGGAGGGGCGAGGTTGTGGTTA